GCCCTGGATTTGGATGTACCCTCTCCGAAGGTGTGAAAGAACGGATCTCCGGATCGGATCTCCGTTAAAGTCTTCCTCCTGGCACCTCTGTTGCAGCAGCACTGAATAACTAAGGCAGTAGGACGTCTCCCAGGTCTGTCACTGCTGCCCGGACTTCGAATCTCAAGAGTCTCTGATTAGGGGCAGACAATAATAAACTAGCAGCAGTCCTAACACAATTGTAAATACAGCTCCAATACTTACACACCTGAGTGATCTTAGGTAAAATACTTACTTAACACTCCTGTGCCTCAGTTAACTCATCGCTTGAGTGCACAGATCACGAGGGTCAAACCACAAAGGGTTGCTATCGGATGATGTAATAATAGTGTTTTGTGTGGATTTTGTGTGTGTGTGTGTGTGTTTCCTTTTTTCTTCAAATAATCAACTTTGGTCCTGGTGCTATGGCCCCCGCAAAGAAGGGTGGTAAGAAGAAGAAAGGCCGTTCTACCATCGATGTGGTAACCAGAAGTGGTGACCAGAGAGGACACCATCAACTTTCACAAGCGCTTCCGTGGAGTGGGGTTTAAGAAGCGGGCTCCTCAGGCCCTCAAGGAGATCCAGAAATTTACCATGAAGGAGGGGAACGCCAGATGTTCGCATTGACACCAGGTTTAACAAAGCTGTCTGGGCCAAAGGAATAAGGAAGGTCCCATCCCACATCCGTGTACGGTTGTGCAGAAAACGTAATGAGGATGAAGGTTCCCCAAACAACCTGGATACTTTGGTTACCTGTGTACCTGTCACCACTTTCAAAAAATCTACATATCGTCAATGTGGATAAAAACTAATAGCTGGCTCCAATCACTGAGCCGCCGCCGAGGACTCAGCTGCCTCCCCCTCGAGCCCCCTCGCTTCCCGACGCTCCGTCCCCCCTGCCCGCCTTCTCCCGCCACCGCCTTCCGCAGGCCGTTTCCACCGAGGAAAAGGAATCGTATCGTATGTCCGCTATCCAGAACCTGCACTCTTTCGACCCCTTTGCTGATGCAAGTAAGGGTGATGACCTGCTTCCTGCCGGGACTGAGGATTATATCCATATAAGAATTCAACAGAGAAACGGCAGGAAGACCCTTACAACTGTCCAAAGGATCGCTGATGATTACGATAAAAAGAAACTAGTGAAGGCGTTTAAGAAGTTTGCCTGCAATGGTACTGTGCTTGAGCATCCAGAATATGGAGAAGTAATTCAGCTACAGGGTGACCAACGCAAGAACATATGCCAGTTCCTTGTAGAGATTGGACTGGCTAAGGACGACCAGCTGAAGGTTCATGGGTTTTAAGTGCTCGTGGCTCACTGAAACTTAAGTGAGGATTTCCTTGCAATGAGTAGAAAATTTCCCTTCTGTCCCTTGTCACAAGTTTAAAACTTCACAGCTTGTATAATGTAACCATTTGGGGTCCACTTTTAACTTGGATTAGTGTAACACTTTCATGCAATAAACTGAAAAGAGAAAAAAAAAAAAACCAAAAAACTAATAGCTGATTGTCAAATAAAGTTATAAAACGGTCAAAAAAATTAAAAAAGAAAAATCGCTATGAGTCGCAGGCGACTCGACGGCACATAACAACAACAACAACAATCACCTTTACTGACAGCTGCGGGATTAGCTATGTGATCTCTTTGTGGGAGAAAATTTGAGGACTGGCTCTTTTTCCCAGGAGGGAACATTGCAGGCTTCTCTTCCACAGAGGTTGCAAGGCTCTGCGTCCTGCAGCGAGTGTCCACTCGGCACCTCAGGTGTCTCGGCTGGGGGCTCTGTGCGCCCTCCTGAGCCGGTCCAGACTTTCAGGGAGTGCAGCATGTTGCCCTGGGAGACCGCTCTTGCCAGCACCCCGCTGTTAGTGGGGTGTTTTCCCCCCTCTTTTTAGTTTTATTAATTTTAATTAAAGTTTACAGAGACTTTTCATTTCCATTCATTCATTGTTGCATTTTTCACCCTGCCCAACCTCCTCCCCTCCAGTTCGCTCTTCTGTTTAAAGAGTAAAAGAAAAAAATCTTTCATTGTTATGCAATCCCTCCCCCCAGAGTCCACTATGCAGCCTTCGTTTTGAAAAGTAAAATTCTTTCATTGTTATACAATCTCTCCCCAAAGTCCACTCCACTATGCAGTCTTCATTCTGGACTCCTGTCATGACAATAATACCCAATCACAGATCCCTTTTAAACAGGTCTCTCCTTCATCTCTTTCAATGCAGTATATATAATTTATCCCATCTTTCTCAGCCAGTTCCATTTTACAACAGTGGCACTATGCAGCCTTTGTCCTTTCGTGACTGAGATATTTCACTCAGCATAATGTCCTCCAGGACCACACATTTTTGTATAAAATTTCATGTGTTCCTTGTTTTCAGTGGAGCGTAGTATTCCATTGTGTGAATATACCACAGCTTCTCTAGCCATTCGTTTGTTGATGGGCACTTGGGTTGTTTCCAACTCTTTGCTATAAGATTCCTTCAGCGGTGCCTGAACAATACCATAATTGAGTCAGCTCAGTGGCAGAATCCTTGCCTTGTGTGTAGGAGACCCAGGTTCGATTCCAGCCAATGCACTTTGAGCACCACCGTCATTTGTCTGTCAGTGGAGGCTTGTGTGTTGCTCTGATGCTGAGTGGGTTACAGAGGAAGGAAGGCGGGGATGTGTGTGCTTCTAGACTAAGACAGACTAGGAAGAAAAGCCTGGCAATCTGCTACCAAAAATCAGCCAATGATAACTCTATGAGCTGCCGTGGTCCAATCCCGTTTGGGCATGGGGTTCCACGAGTCAGGAGTGGACTCAAGGACATCTAACAACAACTGGATTAGAATAGCCTGATGCTTTGGAATTTCAAGATTTTTCGCATGTTAGAGTTCTAATGGCAGGAAGATGCTGTGATCTGTGATGGTTCTAGGGAACAGCCTTGGAAAGTCCACGAGGCTGTTCTCCTCTGTCCTGAAGAGTTACTATGAGTTGGAAACCACTCTGCAGCGATGAATTGGAGTTCCAATATGAGAATAGTCTATAGTCTCGTCTACACAGCAGTATCCTATCATTCTAATGAACTCAACCCAATATTTAGAAGCCCAGTATTCTAGATACTGGAGCTGACCCTCCAGTGGGTTCTGGGGGCTGTAATTAATGAGTGTGCACAGATTGCTTCCATGGAGCTGCTGCAGGGTTTGCATGGCCAGCGGGGTGCGGCCTTTGGTTTAGAAGTGCAGCTTCCTACAGACTAGGCCACCAGAGCACACCCCCCCATAATGTATTAGACAAAAGCCAAGCCCCCAAACCAAAAGTATGATTCATTTTAATTCAGATACGTTGTAAATCAGAGACTGCTTGTCCCTGAATCTCTCGGTGAGAGCTGATTGGATGGCACCCGACAACAATCTTATAATAGTGCATAGCTGCAAAACAGAATCTTGGAACAAGCTCTAGTTTCCAGCCATGCCTTTGTTTTGAAATCTGGTTGGAACTTGAGGAAGCAACAGAATGCTTCCAGTCCGGCCTTTTTTTGTGTGGGGAGACACAGTAGGAAAGCTTTAGCTCATGGAGTTCAAACCATGACTTGGTTTTGAAATCCATTCGGAACTTGGGGTTTTAAGTGACATAGCACTGTACAGAGGTAACCTGTGATGCTAAACATTGTGACACTGATGTGTCAAATGTGATAATGGCTACCCATGGTGGACAGTGTTTGGTGGAGCTTCCTGATTAAAACAACCCTGGAAGCAGGAGTGGCATCCACTTCCATAATAGCTGGCCTCTGGAAACCCTATGAACCTGGAGAAAGGATGAAAATTATACAGGTGTCCAGGTCTTTCGTTCATAGGGTCACTATGAGTCGCCTATGACTTGATGGCACTTAACAATAACAGTTTCCAAGGTAGATAGATAGATAGATGATAGGTAGATAGATAGATAGATAGATAGATAGATAGATAGATAGATAGAATAATAATGATAGATAGTTGATAGATAGCTAGATAATGATAATAATAACATAGACTGATAGAATAATAATGATAGATAGTTGATAGATAGCTAGATAATGATAATAATAACATAGACAGATAGATAATGATGATAATGATAGTGATAGATAATAATAATAATAGATAATGATGACAGTAATAATAATAATGATAGATAATTATAATAATAATAGACAGATAATGATGATGATAATAATAATGATAGATAATGATAATAACAATAGACAGATAATAATAATGATAGATATAGAGAGAGAGATAGATATAGAGTGAGTTAGGCCATGTTCTCAGGAGAGGCCAGTCTCTGGAGAAGGACCTCACTCTTGGTCAAGTAGGGGGTCAGCGAAGCAGGGGGAGCCCCTGGACGAGATGGGCTGGCACAGTGACAACAGTCAGCCTGAGCACAGCAGCGGTTGTGACGATGGCACAGGAACGGGGCAGGGTCTCCACTGTGTGTGTTACTGTTGTTGTGTGAGCCCTTGAGTCAGAGCTGACCCAGCGCTGACCCTCCAGCAGGTCTTGAGAGGCAATCCATCGCCCGGGAAGAGATTGCTTGTCTTTCTCCTACAAAGCAGCAGGTGGATTCGAACTGCGTACCTTGGCACTGGCAGCGCAATTCCTTACCACTAAGCCACCGGAGCTCCCTTCCGTTGTAAACAATGTGACTACAATTTGAAATCAACACAAGAAGCCCTCTCAATAGACTGGGGTTGGAAGTCTCATAACGGGATGATAGAAGAGCACTCAGCTACCAAGAAAGAAATCAGTGGTTCAGACGCACCAGCTAGCTGCTCTGGAGGAGAAAGAGACGGTCTGGTTCATAAAGACACAGCCGTGAAGACCCCTCCAGGGCAGTTCCACGCGGCCATGGATGGCAACAGGGTGGGGTTGGGCTGGGGGTCCCTGCCCCTCAGCGTCCCCAGACTCTTGGTTTTCTATGACTGGAGTTGACATGCTTTTTCCCTCTTGCCTAGGCCACCAACCGCTGGATGGAAGACCCTTCCAACAACAGCTACTATGACTACAACTACGATGACCTCGCGGCCCTCCCAGTGGACTGCCCTTCCGGCTCCTGCCTGTCCCCCGACCCCCTGCGCACCGCCCCACTGCTGCTCTACGCTGCTGTCTTCCTCGTGGGCGTGCCGGGCAATGCCTTGGTGGCCTGGGTGATGGGCAGGGAGGCCCGGCGGCGTGTCGGGGCCACGTGGTTCTTGCACTTGGCTGGGGCTGACCTTCTCTGCTGCCTGGCGCTCCCCATTCTGGCGGTGCCCATCGCCTGGCAAGGCCACTGGCCATACGGGGCTGTGGGCTGTCGGCTCCTGCCCTCGGTCATCCTGCTGTCCATGTACGCCAGCGTCCTCCTCCTGGCCGCCCTCAGTGCTGACCTCTGCCTGCTGGCCCTCCGGCCCGGCTGGGGGACAGCAGCTTGGCGGGCACGTGGGGTGTGGGCAGTTTGTGCAGCCACCTGGGCCCTGGCCTTGCTGTTGACCGGGCCCTCCTTTGCCTACCGCCGGCTGTACCAGGAGCACTTCCCACCACGCCTGGAGTGTGTGGTGGACTACGGCGGCTCGTCCCTAGCTGAGGGCGCCGTGTCCGCTGTCCGGTTCATTGCTGGCTTCTTGGTGCCTCTGCTGGTCGTGGCCAGCTGCCATGGTGTCCTCCTGGACCATGTGTCCCGATGCCGCTGGCCACTGGGCACAGCCATCGTGGTGGGCTTTTTTGTCTGCTGGGCCCCCTACCACATACTGGGCTTGGTTATTGCTGCTGCCGCTCCCAACTCCATCCTCCTGGCCAAGGCCCTGCGAGGCGAGCCTCTGGTCATCGGCCTTGCCCTGGCCCACAGCTGCCTCAACCCTATGCTTTTCTTGTATTTTGGGCGGAAGAAACTCTGCCAGTCACTGCCAGCAGCATGTCGCTGGGCCTTGAGGGAGGATGGGAATAGAGAGGAAAGTGTGGTCAGCAAGAAGTCCACCAGCTTTGACCAGGTCTTAGAGATGGAAGTGTAGGCTAGTGGGAAACAGATTCTTATCGTGTGGTATCATTTGAAACTAGAGTCTTACCATATGATATTATTTCACAACTCCAGCTTCAGGCATAGCTGAATCCAGGGACTTAACAACGTCTTTTCTTCCTTCCTTCCTTCCTTCCTTCCTTCCTTCCTTCCTTCCTTCCTTCCTTCCTTCCTTCCTCCCTCCCTCCCTCTCTCTCTCTTTCCTCTGTCTCTCTCTCCCTTCCTTCTTTCCTTTCCTTCCTTTTTCTTTCTCAACAACTCAGTATGCACCTGTTGTGTGCAAGGCTCTGTGTAGGCACCAGGGATACAGTAGTGGACAAAACAGTCATGGATCCCTGCCCTCATGAAATTGATATTCTATTGGACAGAATATATCTTATCATGTTGTTGTTATGTGCTGTCGAATTGCCTCTGACCCGATGTACAACAGCCCTAAACTCTGCTCTGTCCTGTGCCAATCGCACTGTCTCCGACAAATCTACCCCCATTACCCCAGTCACTGAATCAATCCATCTCATTGAGGGTCTTCTTCTCCTGCACTGTCCCTCCACCCTCCCAAGCAAGACATTCCTCTCCAAGGACAGGTCGGTCCCTCCTTACAAAGTATGTTAGATGAAGCTTCAGAATCTTTGCCTCCAAGGAGCACCCTGGTTTAACCCTCTCCAGGATGAACTTGTTTGTTCTCCTAGCAATCCATGGTATATTCAATACTCTTCTCCAGCACCACAGCTCAAAGGCATCAACGCTCCTTCCATCCTCCCTAGTCATTGTCCAGCTGTCTGATGCACAGCAAGTGACATATCATTATCTATAATCTAGACACAGTGACTACAACAGTGGGCTCGAACATATCAGGGATCAGAAGGGTGCAGGGTACAGAGCAAGACTGAGATCTGTCACTCACAGATCTGCTATGAGTCACCGTCAGCTGGACAGCACCCAACAACAATCTCCCTGTCTCTGTATGAAAGGCAGAGAGAAATTTATGTCAAGGAAATGACTCCCACGGAAGCAACCGAACTATATATTTGCCTAGATTTGGGTTCCCCACCCCCAGCAAGATTGTGAGCTCACAGATAGCAGAAGCTCGCTCCTGCTATCTTTTTAAATTTTATCTAACACAAGAAAACCCCTAGCAGGTTCTCAACAATGCAAAATTTCTTCGTCATAGTTTTATTTAGCATTCTTATGCATGAAGTATTAAGACCCACACCACCGAATAGAATGAGCCGTGTTGTGGGATGATTTATATAAAACTTCTTTATAAACTGGAGAAAATTTCCTCATTCATCTGCTGGGGCCAGATGCCATTATGAAAAGTTATTCTTTGATAACATAAAGAAAAAGATTTTTTTAATATTTAAAAACATCATTCTCATTTTTTTAAAATTTTGTTAGCCTTTGTGGTTTGTCAGTGTGTTTGCTTTTTTTTTTTTAAAGAACAATCATTTGTGGGATTTTTCACATGGTATTACTGTGCAATTTTATGTGGGATTCTATTGATGATTAAAATAAATCTTGATTTCTTTTTTTTTATTTTTTTTTAAAATCTTGATTTCTAAAAAAAAATAAATCTTGATTTCTGTTTGTTGGAACTCTCCTGTCTTTGTTCCTATTTTCATTTATTTTTGCCTTTTGTTTTCCATAATTATGTTGTCAGTATTTATATTATCTAAGAAATATTACATGTAAGCAATTTATAATTATATTTATTATGTTATTCTATTATTAAATTTTTTAATAATTTTCCTTGTGGTGTGATCATCTCTATGAGACCAAATGGTCAACAATATCCCTAAACCAATGATGAACATGGAAGGAGACACGGGCACCAGATGACTGAAAGGGAATTGTCCAGAAGGTAACTAATGAAAATGCTGATACACCGTAGAAAAATATGATCAATGTATTTGATCTTGTATCATAATGTTTAAAAGGAAACCTAATTGGCAGTGTTCACCATTCACTTGAAACACCTTAAAGTACTATTATTATGTTACGTAGAAGACACAGCAGTCAGCTCTGAAGTTGATCTAGGCCCTGGGGATACAGCAATGAACAAAAGAGATAACTTCCTTCCTCTAGTGGACTTCTCATTCTCTTGAAGAACAACAAACCCCAAAACCCACTCCCATTGAGTTGATTGAGTTGTGATGCTGGAGAAGAGCTTGAACTACCATGGATCACCAAGAAAACAAATAGGTCTGTCTTGGGGAAGGTAAAACCAAGTCTCTCCTTGGAGGCTAGGAGTTTGAAGCTCCATGCATGTGGCCAGGAGGGACTGACTGGTCCTTCATACTCAGAAGGGTGGATGAACAGTGCAGGAAAGGAAGACCCCGGATGAGATGGATTGATGCAGTAACTGAGGTAATGGGAGTTGGTGTGTCAGAATTAGTGAGACTGACTCAGGACAGGGAAGGGTTCAGAGCTGCTGTACATAAGGTTGCTATGGGTCACAGGCGACATGACTGCACATAACAACACAATGACATTATAGGACAAATAACTGTCACAAGGATTTGCATTTCTCCTTTCCCCATTTGAGATTTGAGTGAAAACTTATGCTAATTGTTTTTTCCACTCAACTATTCTTACATATTTTCTTTGTTGTTATTGTTGTTGTTGTTGTTGTTGTTACGTACCATCAAGTCAGAATCAACTCCTAGCTGACCCTTGGATGAGTTTTCAGAGGCAGTAAATCACATGGGTGGAATTTATCCATCTTTCTTCAGTAAAGCAGCTGGTGGTTTCAAACCACATGCCTTTGGGTTGGCAGCACAACTCCTTCTCATTAAGCCACCAGAACTCCCTACATAGTTTGCTCTGTGCCATTAGTTACAGCCACACTCATCTACTTCCTCCCTGTGATTTTCATGTCCAGAAGTCCTCTGTCTTCCTACCTCCTCAGTTCTCATCCCTGAACAAATGCTGCCCTTTTGACCCATAGGGTTTTGAAGGTTGTTGAACAAGTAAATGACTGGTGAATTCCCATTTCTGATTAGCAGCCCGATGTTTAAACCCCTGCACCACCAGGGGTCCTAGTGGGGGGAAGACAGAGACACACAAATAGAAACAGTCTATCAAGCTGTCTTTCATGCATGCCATTTGGGAGGCAACCAAAGAGGAACGGATGTTATTTTAAATAACATAGACACGTCCATTCCCTGAGCCAGGGGTCAGTGTCATCCTGGGTCACACATGGTGTCACACCACCGCCATGCACTTCCTCTCTTACTAGTCTGTACAGAGTCCTCGGGAACGTTCACTGTCGATTTTCATCACATACCAGTAAGTGACAAGTGAACATGCTGGGAAAGGTCAGCGGAAGAGAGAAAGATCTTCAAGGATATGAATTGACACAGTGATTGTAACAATGGCCTTGACTGTGAGATTGATGGAGCGGGATAGGGCGGGCAAGAATCAGATCCATTGTTCCTAAGGTCTCTATGAGTCTTAGACCTAAGGTCTCTATGAGTCTTAGACCTAAGGTCTCTATGAGTCTTAGTTCTAAGGTCTCTATGAATCTTAGTCATAAGGTCTCTGTGAGTCTTAGTCGTAAGGTCTCTGTGAGTCTTAGTCGTAAGGTCTCTGTGAGTCTTAGTGGTAAGGTCTTTGTGAGTCTTAGTGGTAAGGTCTCTGTGAGTCTTAGTGGTCTCTGTGAGTCTTAGTGGTAAGGTCTCTGTGAGTCTTAGTCCTACGGTCTCTGTGAGTCTTAGTCCTACGGTCTCTGTGAGTCTTAGTCCTACGGTCTCTGTGAGTCTTAGTCCTATGGTCTCTGTGAGTCTTAGTCCTAAGGTCTCTGTGAGTCTTAGTCGTAAGGTCTCTGTGAGTCTTAATCGTAAGGTCTCTGTGAGTCTTAGTCGTAAGGTCTCTAAGAGTCTTAGTCATAAGGTCTCTATGAGTCTTAGTCATAAGGTCTCTATGAGTCTTAGTGGTAAGGTCTCTGTGAGTCTTAGATTTGCAACATTACTGTTATAGTATTATTAGCAACTGAGTGAAAATCTTTTTCTCATTTTCTTTTGGCTTTTTCATTACTTAATTCATTAATTTTTTTAAAAAATTATTGCTCTACATTCACAAGTGCTAACTACCATAAGGGACGTCTGGTGGCTTAGTGGCAAAGAACTGTTCTGCCAATACAAAGGTATGCAGCTAGAATCCACCAGCTGCTCTGCAGCAGAAAGATGGGCAATCTCTTCTCATGTGATTTTCTGCCTCTGATAATCTGCTAGAGAATCAGCTATGGGTCGGATCTGACTCGATGGCACACAAAAACAATTACTGTATGTTGTAGCTAAGCCACCAGAAAATCCGGCATACCTGGTGACTGTAAACATATGGAAAGCAATGAAATCAACAGCAAGTGCGGGTGAAACCCTGTGATTTGGAGTTCCATTCATAATGACACCTCTGACTGCAGTCCATTAGAAGATTTTAAAAGTAATTGAGGGGGGAGTGGGCAGGGAGAAAAGTGCAACGATGAATGAATGGAAATCCAAAGACTCTATAAATTTTCATTAAAATTAATAATAATAAATTTTAAAAAGTAATGTTCTGGCCACGAAATGCCCTTCAAAAGAATAATCCACACATTTGTAAATAAGCACTTTACTCCAGAGTATCTCCACTAGTGGAGACTTTCTTCCTCAGTAGGAAGGTGGCAAGGGGAAAAAAGCCCCAAGTCCCCCCTCCCAATTGCTTTTATGGCTCTCCTGGGTGCCCTTGTTGGGGCGGGGAGATTGAGATCATGGTTGGTGGGTTGGGGGATCAGTCATGTGGGTCGGCTTTTGATGGGCTGGCTACTTTGCCCGCCTTTACTCTTTTTGTGTCACAGGTTGTTGTTGTTGTTATGTGCCGTGGAGTCGTTTGTGACTCATAGCGACCCTATGTACAACTAAACCCTGCTCTATCCTGTGCCAATCTCATTGCCTCTGACACACCCAACCCGATTACCCCAGTCACTGAATTGATCCACCTCATAGAGGGTCTTCCCCT